TTTTTTTTTACTGTTTTGTCTTTTTGTACAAAACATTATCAATTCATGTGTTGAGCCAATATTTTGCAGTTTATATGTGTAAGTTATAAAATTTTTGATATATAACGTGCGCTCTGATTGGCTGACGACCGTGTTTATATCAGAGGACAGAGACACGCGCGCCGTTTTATATTTCTTAAGTATATAATATTAGATGCAGAATAAGCTAAATGTAGAAGAGGATACATTTTGCATCATTTGTTCTTTACTGTTCTTGTATGCAAATAAAACTGTTTTTTCTATTATCATATTGAACACATAATACCATGTAAAGTCAGAACAAGACTGCCAACTGTTGCTTGATGTATATATATTTTGTCAGATTCAACAATGAAGCTTTCATTTGCTCAAATCCAACAAACTGATGTAAAATGTTAGTATTTTTTAAATACTATTGCAAAATAGAGTACAAATACTAACAGCATGAAACACTTACATGGTCATGTGTGGTGGTATTTTTGGTGCACACTTTTAATGTTTGTACTCTATAATATAATGACACATATCCATATTAGCTTGTGTTTTGGTTATCTAGTTGAATGGGACTACTGACTCAGATAAATTGCTCAAACAACAACTTATTTTAGCAATTTTATCAATAGGGGACAATGATTCTCCAGGCTTTGCTTTGATGACATCYATGGGTAGGGTGCTTTGAAGAATGGCATATTTTCTGCGAACTAAACCAATGACGCGCTCAACATGTATCCTAACATTAGCGATCTTCCTTGTTTCTTCTACTTCCAGMGCTGATAATTGCTTTTTACCTCTTGTAAAGGCTGGTATATGTAGTTTTGCTTGATAGAAGCCAACACTGTCCTCAATATTAAAACCCCTGTCAGCCAACYCAATGTCACCTGGTTCAAGCTTCCTCAAAATTCCACAGTTCTCAGTAATAAATTTGTCGCTTACTCTACCACCCCATGCTTTAGATAGAAATGACACAGAACCCTGGGGAGTTACACCAATTAGGAATTTAACAGTGTTGTGGTGTTTGTAGTTTGACCATGTCATAGCCCGTGCAATCAAGCTCGATGGTTTGTCTACAAACACCTCAAAACAGTCAATAATGACTGAAACTTTGTCCCCAAAAGATTGGCGAAAGACCYAAGGCATAGTAGACCTAAGATCTTCCKGTTCTGGCCAATGCATTAGAAAGTGGAGGCGCTCATTCATTACATTGTGCRATCTGTCACAAATTCGGCTGACAGTTGCAACAGAAATGTTAAACCTGTAGGCAAGGTCCTGAAGAGGCACATTCAATCTGATCCTCATCAGTGATAACAAAAATTCTTGAAATTGTGGCAGCGKGTTCCGCTTTGTGGAAATGACATAGGTAGATATWATGTCAAAAACATGCATAAGCATTACAAATGTTGGAATACCAGTGTAGAACTTGGTTTTTTCATTGTTTCCCTTGAAACWAGTGAAAGTCAATTCTGTCTCAAGTAGTTTCTCCTTRAGGTTTTTGACCTCTAGAGTAATGTTGTCCAGGAACACTTTTTGCTGGTCCAGGTCAGCCATTGTCAAGACAGTTTGGCATCCAACAGTTTTTAAATGGTCCTCTTGTGTTTCTGTCTGACATGCTTTACTGTTA